GAGGACGCCAAGAAGAAGAAATATGCGTTCCTCATGGACCGGTACATTTTTGTCCCGGTTGCCATGGAAACGACTGGAGTTTGGGGGCAGGAGGGGCTCGCCCTCATCGAACAAATCGGGCAAAGGATTGCCTCCGCAACTGGACAGCTCAATGCTGTCAATTTTCTCCGCCAGCGAGTTTCCCTCGCCGCGCAACGAGGAAACGTCGCGTCGATTTTGGGTACACTTCCTCCAGGAAAAGAGTTGGAGGAGGTGTATTATTTGTAGGACCCCCGGCTTTCTACCCATATTTTCGATACGTTTTAATTTGATTTGCTACGATTTGATTTGATTTTCTACGATTTATTTTGATTTTCAGATAGGGATTTTTTTTGTGAAGCGCCCGTCGTTTAGCTTTTTTTAAATAAATAATATGTAATGCATTCTCTCAACTCTGCGAACACAACTTCAATATAATTTTAAATAAATTACCAAAAACTGAATTTTACGTGAGTGTCCTCTCAGATTATCTTAGATGAATACTAACCATATCCATTTCCCAAATCGAGGATCTTCTAGCCCCATTTTGTCTGCTGATGTGTGGGATTTCTTCCGAAAAATGTCGCAAGTACGGGCCCAGTTCAGGATTTATCTGTTAAATGAAATACAATTAAAAATAAATTTGCGGGAAATTTAAAATATGTAATGTGAAATGTAAATATAACCAACCACAGGTAGTAAATCTGAATCGTCGACTGTAACAATCTTGAACAATTTCTTAAAATCCAGACATTTCTCTTCTCCACGGTTTTCCATCCTTGGTCGTGCAAGGTTTCGTAGCGCACAAATGCAGCTGACCAAAAGATTGTCAAGCACAATTTTTAGCTGGTATTGGAAAGATGACAAGTTATGGCGGGGAATATATTTGAACATGTTTTGTTCCGAGATGAAGAAATTCGGCAGTTTGCATTTCGCTAAAGCTTTGCACAGCTGGGTTAGCAAGGTTTTTAAATGAATGCCTTGTTCTTCCATGCTCCACGCGGTTAGCGGCACTTCATGCGCCATATTGTAGAGCAAATGCCTCACATGGTTCAAACCGATGCCTTGGTAGCCAATGGTGGCAAAGAAGGCGCGAAAAATCAAGCCGGAAAATATATAGGCGCGCCAATGAATCTCTTTGAAATTGGATAAAAGTAAGGATTCCACATTGAAAAAGTCCAACTCCCATTGGACGCTGTTGCAATCTTCGATAGGTCCAAGAGGGATTGCGGAACAGCCAAAAGTTTCGATTTGTTCGATCTGTTCGTGCAAAATAAAATGATTTATAGCGAATTAATTTACAAATATGTACACTAAAGGTATTTACGCACACTTCGCAAGTTCACATAGTAACATATTTACAATTATCAGTTTTGCATATTTCCCAACCTAAAAGGCTTTTTTCCTTGTGGGAAATGGGAAAAAGTGGGAAAATGGATAGTGAGGAAAAGCCCCCACCTAGCGTATGTCGCATAGGAACTAACGTTTTTCCCACTTTTTCCCATTTCCCACTGATTTGGGTGGGGTGTAAAAACTGTCTTTTTCCCACTGTCCGTTAAAAAATGGTTTATACCACTTGCAACACTGACAATTATCTAAACTTTCTTACACCAAAAGTTTTGCGAATTTTCCCAACCTTATTGTTTTGCGAAGTATGTGTCAATACCATAACTAATTATTTGCAATACAGAAACTGATTCGTACCAGAGTTGGATGCATCCACCATTTCAAATCCTTCCCATCTTTTATTCGGCTATGCATCCGTCTATTAAACCAAAAATAGGACCTTGGCGGGAATCTGTCGCAGATTAAGGATGGCGTAAAATTGTTCGTTATTCGGAATCCGTCATGTTCGTTATTAATATGACATTGAACACTAGCGCCGGAAATGACCACGTCGTAAAGTTCTCCATCGGAAACGTCTCGCGTATGGTAGTCGGAGATAGCGTTGTGCAAGAATGATTGCGATTTTAGGCAAAAAACTCTACCGTAATTGTTGCCACCAATTTTCCCGCTGATGTTTAAATCGTCAATGAAACCGGACATTGAATCAGAGTCGGAGTCCGGTCTGTCTAAAAATCCAGGTTCGGCGGTCATAGGAAGGAAAGAGGATGGGACGATGGGTGTCTTGCGGCCAAGGTTGTGACGCAATTGGGGTGGAAACATTTCCAAACTTTTTACTTGAGCAGGACGTGTCAGGGATGATCCAGATATTGAAGTGGACGATTGTGACCTAGGTCGGGATGATGAAGTACTGACGGATCTATGTTTGTGGAGGTATACATTAAATAAAAAATTGTACATTCGTAATGGTTACAGTGTTTCCATCGTGACTTTTTGTGATTTTATGTCATTATCATGTTTGGAGATTTTACATGATTATCACGTTTTGAGATTTTACATGATTATCACGCTTTGTGATTTCATGTGATTAACACGATTTGTGATTTCATGTGATTAACCCGATTTGTGATTTCATGTGATTAACACGATTTGTGATTTCATGTGATTATCACGCTTTGTGATTTCATGTGCTTAACACGATTTTTGTATATGCTATTTTTGTAATCCCTGTGATGTTAATAGTCGCCATCTAGCGGGGTATATGTTTGCTCTGCAATATCCCTATATCATGACTATTATGCTGCATCTCTATATTTCACATAAATGATATAAATATTATCAACCAGAATAAATCACATCGTGATGTGATTTCAAGAACACTGTTTATAGATATGAAATAAATCTTACTTCTGTATCGTTTCATATCCCGAACTAATGCTTGCTTTTGACTGTCTCCTACTCGAACATGATTGCCTACACATGAATAAGACTAATTTTACAAGCACAAATTTAGAGTAGATTAATAAATACCTTCGGCTATCCAATTTATTTCGTTCAATCCAACCCTCCTACAGGTAAAGAATTAATGTCATCCTCATTTTCACTGTGAACTTAAATATCTTTATAACTACTTACCATGACTGATGAAGGTCTCCTGCTTTAAATAATAAAGTTTAGTAGTAATTAAGAGCAAAAATCTACCACCAATTTTAAAATCTACCACCAACAGAGAAGTATCAAAATTTATGATTTGAATTTATCGTGTTATTTTCTGAGTAAGTTCTGAGATTTTTTTTTGATTTATTGTGATTTTAATAGTCGCCATCTAACGTGTGTAATATCAATAAATGCAGACTATCAAAATCACAATAAATTACAATGTGATGTGATTTTAATATACATATTAATATTCAATTTACCAGATTTCCAAATGCCCTCCGTGTATTGAAAACTCCTTCATTTCACTTGGCTGATCTTCGTAAATCTCACATTCCCCGTATGGATTATCTTCACCCTCATCGAAGACATCCTCCTCCTTCGCCACCAGGGTTTTACTTTACCCACCTTTTGAGCTTAATCCCCAGCCCAGTGGGTAAAATGGAAAAAATGGGGAAAATGGGTGGTTAGTATGGTAAATGGGTCTGAAGGGTTATAATTAGGTGGTGGCCTACCACCACTATTGCAAGTAGTTCAATTTGTCCTGTTTTGTTCTGTTCTTACTTTTTAGTAAACAAACCACTTGCAATTTTATTTTTCCAAGCAATCGTCTATTAATTTTTTGGTCTTTCAGAATTCTGAAAGACTTGTTATTTAACAAGTCTACTTTGTTGATCGACTGCACGCAGATTTTTTAGATTTTTAGATTTTTTATCGTCTCCTAAATAGTAAATCACATGGCAAAATACAGTGAAGAATGTTTTTCATTATTTGTTTAGGAAATTACCAAACGGTTTACCATTTTTCCCGACTAATGTAATAATGTGATAATGTAAGCTAATGCGTGCACGAAAATATTTTAAAGCATAGATGACGTAAGTCAGACCGAGTAAACAATTATATGTTTAAGATTTTCAAATCAAATCAAATGCAGGTTTTTCCAGCATACCCCTTCAGATTTTAACCGAATTAATGTCAACCAATCACAGATAAAAACACTAATTCGGTCACTTCTTTAGCATTAGTGCCGTTTAGAAGTTATCATAAGCACCCGATTCTTCGTGTCCGGGTCTGACCCGAGACCCGTTGATATACACTGGAAAATCGGCGACCCGGGTCCGAGTCGGGGCCTTCTAAATTTTAAATCCGGGTCCGACCCGGACTCAGATCCGGACCCGAGACCCGCAGAAAACGGGTCTTGGGTCCCGGATCCGTTGCGAGCACTGCGCCGGACGTTCAAGTTTGGGAAGACTTAACAGAAATAAGGATGACAGAATGCTCCAAAAAATTTGCATACGTCGATACCGAAGAACGTACAGAAAAATTACTCCAGAGGCTAAAAAAATACTATACATGGCTCCCAAAAAGGGGAAGACAAAATTTCCACGGATTACATGAAAGTTTGGGCTTTCGAGTCAGGAAGATTTGCGTAGGCATTGACAAAAACTTTGGAATCTGGGATTTTTCGAAGATTTCAGACCATGGTGGACATACGCGAGGACAAGACAAGGATAGAGTTTACGAAAAGTAGGCCTCGCGACCGGACTTTTAGCGGGGCAATATACAGGGAAGTATACAGACGATGTTCGTCTTATGGTTAGGAGGCATGATCATGGTGGGATTAGGAGTATTTTGCACTCGCGATATGGGGATGGAAATTACAAATTTTTTTGCTAATTGTGCAAAATATGGTTACAATGCAATCAACAATGCTGTATTTATTCGCACGAAAATTAAGATGGTTTCGTTAAGGCACACATAATCCAAATATATCGTTGATTTTTCCTTACGAAAAATAATGCTAATGTTACAACCATGCTCACTTTTAAGTTAGTAATAAAAACTTGGGAAATTATTTTTTTGTAATAACTGGAGACTTTGGGGACGAATACTGTAATAATAATTGTCAAGTGATGATTTCTAACAGTATGATGCATGCGTAACACCGTCAAATTTAGTACGATCGATTCTCATTAATAATGTCTGTTTAAAGCGAATAGTTGTTTCAATTTATTGCATAGTTGGCATATTAATAATCATCAATTTTAAGTAGGGATGTTGCAAAATAAATTGATAAGTGATACAATTAAATTACTCATATCTCAAGTTTGACCTTATTGTCAATTTTCGTAACAGAACACTTTCCTTACGGCACCATTTACATACATTTAAATCCATACTCATCCTCGGCAGCAGTATCCACAAACCCCATTGATGGAACAACACTGTGGAAAATCACCAGCGCAGCAAGCATACGATGAACACTGCAAATTTAAGAAATTAATTACAGCGCCAAATTAAAAAAAAAAAATCAAATTTCTATACCGGAGGTGAGCATTGGTAGCATTGGTTAGCTTTCGATTCCTCGGTGTAGTTTCCAGCTCCGATGTAATTCGGCAAAAAATTTTTAATCCTTTTGTAAACTTCCGGTTCTCGAAACTCTGCACTTGCAGTGACCACACCCATCACGGCGAGAATGACAAGGGCGACAGTTACTCTGGAAAATGACAATTTTAAATTTTAAGTAGACAATAATGAGGATAAAATTAAATTAATTTACCTCTGCATTTTGACGTTTTGATTTTTTAAGGTTTTGTTAACTTCTTGGTTTAGAGGCTGGATTCGTTTTGATACTCGATGCATTGGGGAGGGTTGCTATTTATACAAAAAATATATGTCGCCGCTCCATTGTTATAATCTTGGTTTAAAAGAAACTTGTAAATTTATTTGATATCACACTTGTTTTTTCAGGTTGCGCAAATATTGGTATGGACCACGGCGTAGAATTTTGTCGGCATAGTTTATCCGTTTCCAATCAAGCAAAGGAATTAAGATTATTTATTTCGTGGAAATCTCCGGAATACAGATTAACAAGAACCAAAGATAAAAATCAAAGGTTGGAAAGCAGAATTCCATTGGAGGTTTCGGAAGGGACAAATATCGTGATAACCTGGATTAATGATCCTTATCAAATTGGGAATTGTTTATAATGGGTTGCTAGTTAATGGCTACCTGTAACATATTTATACCTGGAATTTTATCGTGTCCCGGATTTATTTGTTTTCCCAGAATGTGCAAATTAGATTTGTTAATCTAATTTCTCTTATTTGATGCATGTAAGCATGAAAAACACATTGTTCAATTGACACATATGTAAGCAATTTTATTGACATGAATGGGTAAATATTTAATGTATTCATTTTATCGGAAGTAAATTAGTAGGTTCAGATAATGTAGAGTTAGTTGGAATTTGCTTACGGTGTATGGGAAAAGCAATCAATGGATGATGTGATGATGCGTATAGAGAATTAACAAGCGTATGTGTGTATATTTATGTAGATAGTGGATAAAAATAGTGTTTGACGAAGTCAAGAGGATGGACGATAAAAACATGAAATTCAATGATAGCTTCTTCGCCAAACTGTGCCAAATCTAAGTTATTAGAAAAATCTATAAAAATAATTTGTTATAATAAATAATAGTATAATAAATACTTCTTTTAAAAATTGAATTGCAAACTGTTCTCAAATACATAGATATTTGAGATTCATATTCTTGCCAATTTCTCTAAATTAAGTGTTTCCCGAACTATGACTTATTGAGATACATTTGCAATTACGATAATTTATGGAAAACTTCTAACTCGCACAAAAATTGTGTTCCTCCACCCAAATTTAAAATAAGCAGAGAAATTATACTCCTCCTTGTACACTTTCTCATATTTCCCCACCAATTTGCAGCACATTTTATCATCTTTTTAAACATAATGACGAAAAACATGTAATTCTCGCATCCATGTATAGCAATTCCAACCATGTAGAGGACTACAGTTAAAATAAAAAAAATGTTCCGAGGTGTTCCAGATAGATGAAATTTTCGCCACTTGCTTCTTGTGAATTCTTTGGCCAAAATTTTTTGCATTGTTCGAGTAACATTCTTCCAGACGTAACATCGTACAAATTCTGCCAAAAACGTTTCTACCCCATCTTCCCACAATTTTGTAAACATGTCACTCAACATTTCTGCATTATGCAGTTTTTTTCGGGCGTGAGATCATCGCTTAATCGGGGATATCTCAGTATGACCTCAGCTTCCTTCTTATTATCAGTTACAGAGCATAGGGCACCCAGCTGGTGACGACTTTGACCTTGAATAGCTCCGGAACGGTTTGTCGTGTCGGTCGTCGACGTAAAATGAGAGGACTAATTAAGATTTCGAAGGAACAGCTTCGTTGGAGCTCTCGTGTGCATCAGCCCACCGAAAAGCAGACGAAAAATCGTAATAGTGCGTGAAAAAAACTTTTTTTTAATTTTGTGGCCAGAGATACATAATAGCCAGATTTTGATAACATTAGATGAAGCACGATTTCCTCTACGAATTACAAAATTGGGTTCGAAAAACTTGATACGCGAAAAATAGTGAAAAAATCCACTAAAGTTAGTGCTTCCTCGCAAGGAGAACTTTTTAAAAAGGTTACGGTTGTCGCTGCAATATCCAGTCATACTTTTGTGCCACTTATCAAACTTTTCCCAAATGTGAAAATATCTACGAAGTATTATGTGGACTCTTCTAAACCCCCTTTTAGAAACTCATTTTCCCATAAACTAGGGCAAAATATAAATAAAGCGATTGATCGTCAGCCAGCGGCGACTTCCGATATGGCAATTTTGACCCAAGGCTACACTGCAAATAAAATCGTGATAAAATTATCACCGGCTTTATCACCGTCGCACAGTAATAACCATTATTATCTATATGGTGACAAGATTGTCACCATAATTGTTACCCCTACGGGTAACAAGCAGAGTCTCTGGACAGGTTGTAATTTGTTTACACGGAAGAAACAAATCGTCACCAAATTTGTTAACGAGGTGGAGACATTTTGTCTCCTTTTGCAGACATTTTCACTTTGCTCGTCCCACAAGCCCAGTCTGAGTGACGGTCGAGTTAGTCAACCATAAGTTCACGTCGTGGTGGCTGGAGATATTTAATTTGTGCAAAAACTACGAAAATAATTTGAATTAGCAGCCTGTCCATGGGGAAAAATTAATAATGGCGATACCAACAAACAGAAATTTTCATCAGCAGGTAAGTACAGAAGGGCGGCCCGGCCTTCTGAGAACGACTTTCCGCGTTAATAAATTAGTGGTAGCAAAACGTTTTAAGCCGAAATTTGGCACAGGACATGGGAATATTGTCAGAAACAGGTGTGCAAAATCTTGTCTACCTAGTTTTTAAAATGTAACCCCCAGCGACGCTTGAAGACTAGACCACCATAAAAACACTTTCCAAACTTGACTATTCATGTAGCAGGATAATTAGAGAACTCACAGGTCAGGGATTTGCAGTCAGTAAGTGCTTAATAAGTAAGGTACTCAATAACAGGGGTCAAAGACTTGCGGCTGTCGCCGCTGGCCTACCACCCCGACCCAAGCGACAACCCCTGAAAGTCCCAACTTCGACGGTTCTCAGAAAAATAAATTTGTTGACCTCAAAAAAGAATTCACCGACCCAGAAACAATTTAGTAGCATAGTTAAAGTGTCAAAGTCAAGTTTAGGTCGAGCAATTAAGAGTTTAAAGAAAATAGTGAGGCGCAAGACCAGAATGCATCAGCTGACCGAGAAACATAAAAAAAATCGTCCACGTAATTGCAAAAATATTGCAAATTATTTGACGGAAGATAAGAAGGAGTTTGTTGTGACATTAGATGAAGCACTATTTTCTCTACAAGATCCACATGGCCAGCGACGAATTTACTACGATTTAGTGACTCAAAAAATTAAATGATATACTACCTACCGCCTAGCGCCTATCTTCCTACCACCTATCGCCTACAGGGTACTTCCTGCCGCCTAAACCTCTACCGCCTACTTCCTACCGCCTATACATCTACCGCCTACTTCCCACCGCCTAAAACACCTATCGCCTACTTCCTACCGCCTAAAATTTTGTAATGAATTTTTCGACGTTTCAGACCATTCTATGAATTGATCTAATTTTACCCAACAGCGGGAAATTTGTGGGGTATTATGAGATTAGCACCTCCTTTCACATAAAAATAGGTTTATAGAAATCATATGGTTGGCTACAGCGCCTACTGCCTACCCCTTAAATAAACCGCATTAAACGCACATACATTTCATTCTATTTCATCTATAGGTTCAATTTCTGTAAAAATCTCATTTTACTCCGACCACACCCCCTGGAGCATACGGGGTGTGGTCCGATTCACCCCAAAAGTTGATAGGATCCTCCCCCTGGGGTCCTATGTATGATGCCGCAAACCGATTTCGATTATCTCGATTCGTTCCTGCGTTATCCTGCTTACAGACGGACAGACGGACAGACGGACAAAGTCTTCGCATAAAGTAGCCGAAGCTACTTAATAAGCAGGCAACAGCGCCTAGCACTTACTAGGCTGGCCACAGCACCTAACACAGCGCCTGTGGGGTAAGTTGAGATTTACACTTTTTAGGCCTTTTAAGATGGCCTTATAGATTTGTCAGGATGTCTGTCTGTCCGTCCGTCTGTCTGTACGAACTATAACTCTCTTTAAACACAAGCTATCGACTTGAAATTTTGCATACTTCATCTTCGGCCAAAAAGTAAGGATGAGTTCGAAGATGGGCATGATCGGTTAAGTGGTTGGTCGGTGGGGGTCATTTAAGTGATTAGGGTTGACTGGTAAAATTTATTAAATGTCATAGAAACGTCCTAAATTTGTTGTAGGAAGTTGAAATTCAGCATGTATAAGTACATAGATTGCCAATGACTTCAAACTAGATTGGAATTTCCAAAATTGCCAACCTCAACGGTAGGGTAACCCACACTGATTTTTAGCCCGAACCAAGGCTAATGTAATCGTCATGTCTTTCGATAACTCTTGAACGAGTTGACCGATTTCAACCAAATTTGGCACAAACATGTATCTGGGCAATGCAACGACCGAGTTCGAAGATGGGTTCGATAAAAAAAATATTTGGGCCGTTGGGGTCATCTAAGTGGGTGGGGTGTTATGCACCGAAATTTCAAAATTGTAGTAGAAAGCTGAAATTTGGTACAAAGCTTGTTAATATGTCCTAATGGAAGAATATGAAGTGAAATTTGTAGAAATGTTATCTAGAAGGACCCTACGGGGTGACCCATACCGATTTTTCAAAATCAATCGAAATCATCCAATCGAGCTGAAATTTGGTATGGCTGATAATCGAGGAATATGAAGTCTAATTTGAAAATTTTTTGAATGAAGCGACCCTCGCGGGTGACCACCGCCAATTTTCAGAAATTTAATTTGAATGCTGAAATTTGGAACATAAATCCCTAGTGCTTTCTCATGAAATAATATGAGGTTAAATGTGAACAAAAACTAACCAGAGGGTCACTAGGGGGTAACCCAAACCGATTTCTAAAAGTTGAAATATTCAGCTGAAATTTAGGATGGAGTTTAGGATGGAGGATGGAGAATTTAGGATGTAGAGAAGCGAGCCCCAGTGGGGCTTAAACTCTTGCAAATCCAAAATTGTATTAGCTAGGCAGAAATCATTTTTAACCTCTATACGAAATTTCAACTGAAAATTGTAACTTTTAGAAAGCGGTCACCATCTTGGCTCGCATTTTACTCAAATTTAACTCCATATCCCTTCATGAGGAACACTTTAGCATCGCCGTACCGAATCTCGGCTTGTTACGACAATTT